CTTTGGTTTCATGGAGGCTGAAAAGGACCAGGTGATCTCTGGGCACTTGGTGGTGAAGCAGATTCTCAGGGAGCCCCACCCCTGGCCCCTGAGCCAGAAACCCAGGGTCTGTCCTGTGTCTAGGCAGCCCAGGTGAGCGTGAGGCAGGCCGCAGTCTGAGAAGCACGCATCAGACCATGAACTTGAGGGCAGGGCTTTGGTTTCCCTCCAGCCCCGGCGCACAGTGCTCTGTAGACAGAAACAGAAATGATGGGAGGCAGAGACCATGTACATATTGCCTTCAGGACTGCCCACCTGACTAGGCACCTGGTTTACTTTGTTTTTTAGGGGGGGGGAGCAGGCATCATGCGTGCTGCCTAACACAGAGTACACGCTCAGTACATATCTACTAAACAAATAGTCTGTATTCCGTGTCACCAGGCTCCACTAATGCAGGCCAGAGAATTCGCTATGTGACCGGAGAAAGTTCCACTGTGTATGCTTAAGGGTAAGGAGACAATTACAAAAATCCTCCAAGGGTCTCAATTGTCAGGCGATGACCTTCATCTGTGCACGGAGGAAACAGCTCAGTAACAGGTGCATGTGCAGCTTCAGGAAAGCTACACGGAGACTTGAGGGTTTCCTAAAGCCTCTGACGTCCAGGGGTCAGAGCTGCAGAGCAGTGCTCAGCAAACTGGTGCTGCAGGCCGACTCCAGCTCGCCACCCTTCTTTTGTTTTTGTTAATCCTGACCCAAGGATATTTTTTCATTGATTTTTAGAGAGATTGGAAGGGGTTAAGGGAGGGGCATAGAGAAAGAAACATCAATGTGAGAGAGACAATGATTGGCTGCCTCCTGCACATGCCTCCTGCACTGGTGGATTGAGCCTACAACTGAGGTACCTGCCCTTGACTGGAATCGAACTTGAGACCCTTCAGTCCACAGGCTGATGCTCTAACCACTGAGAAGAGCTGGCTAGGACTTGCCACTCGCATTTGTATGGCCTGTGAGCTAAGCAGTCTTTATATTTTTAATGATTAAAACCAAATATTTTTAAAGAACAGACTTTTCTGAAAACCCTATAGAATCCAAAGGACAGTGTCCACAAATAAAGTGTCATTGGAACACAGCCTTCCCGTTTATTGACAGATGATCTAGGAACGCCTCCTGCCCAGCGGCAGCGTAGAGTAACTGCACACAGACTGCATGGCTCAGGCCCTCCATGTTGGCCTTTCTGCCCGCTCCCTGCACAGATGGAGAGAACAGCCTCCCAGGTCTGGGCGGGCTGCCAGCACAGTCACTTTCTGGCTAGTGGTTATGTCCCCCATCCAAGCCAGCTCTGCAGCCCGGTGGCGCCAGCCCCACCCCATCCCTCTCTGTGACTTTGCTGTCCAGGTCTCCCCTCTGGTCCAGGTCCATCTGAGGGGAGAGAGAGGAAAGAGCACTCCCGGGCCTCACACAGCGTAGGGGGAGCCCAGTCAGGCTCCTCCAGGAACTCCTCCAGGGTGACCATCCTCTGCTCTGGGGGGTACAGAACCGAACCAGGCCTGGGGCTGGGCCACAACCCTCTACTGGATGCCTCCTGGTGGAGAGGCCTATCCTGGGTGGCAGGTACTCCTGGTGGCTGAGGGTACTGTGTCCTGGGGTGTTGGCATCACGGGGCGGGGCAGAGTGCTGTGTCCCTGCCGGGCATCCGGTCCTCACTGCTCTTGGGTTTGTGGTGGAGCCGGCCGGGTCAGAGGAACCTGGTGACAGGGCGAGGGGACACAGAGTTACACACATCAGTCTCTCACTCTCGCTTGCCTGCCTCAGTGGGCTCTGTGCTGCCTCTGCTCATGGAACACAGGGAGCCCTGCTGGGGAGCCCAGAGCGCACTTCTCCCAGGCTGGCACTGGGGATGTCAAGGACATGCTGGGAGAAGCTCACAAAATAAGGTGGGAGGGAAGTGCAGAGCTTCTGCTAAAGCTGAAATTAGCAACAGCTGTGAGGCACCACACTCCTTAGCCCAGTGGTTCTCAACCTTCTGGCACTTTAAAGATAGTTCCTCATGTCGTCACCCAACCATAAAATTATTTTCATTGCTACTTCATAATGTTCTACTGATATGAATCGTAATGTAAATATCTGATAATCATGATGGTCTTAGGCGACCCCTGTGAAAGGGTCGTTCGACCACCAAAGGGGTCGCGACCCACAGATTGAGAACCACTGAACTAGAGGCCCTTTAATACAGTTCCTCACGTTGTTGTGACCCCCAACCATAAAATTATTTTCATTGCTTCTTCATAACTGTAATTTTGCTGCTGTTATGAATCATAATGTAAATATCTGATACGCAGGATGTATTTTCATTGTTACAAATTGAACATAATTAAAGCATAGTTATTAATCACAAAAACAATATGTAATTATATATGTGTTATCCGATGGTCTTAGGCGACCCCAGTGAAAGGGTCTTTTGACTCCCTGTAGACAGACCATCTTCTGCACCATTAACAAACTTAAATGCTGTAAAGGAATCACACTAACCCGTGTCCTCTGACCACGATGGACCGGAACTCCAGGCCCTGTCCCCATCCGGAAGCTGCAGGAACCCACACTTGGAGGATGGGTGGCTCGCCCAGGTGCCCAGAGCTGGTCAGTGAGGAGAAGGGATCTGGACCCAAATCCGTGAAAACTCCCAGGTCTGAGCCTGAAACTGCATGCTGTGCCCTATGGAGGCAAACCCATCAGGCTGTGAAGAACTTGCTAATTGTCTTCTTTAAATCACACAAATAACACAAAGCCCAGAGCCCAGATCCAAGCGCCCAGAAGGAAAGCCAGCTTACCCTTTAGGCCCTGAGGTGAGCTGTCACTGGACGCATGCCTATGGCTCTCCAAGCTGCCTGGACGAGACCCTGAGAGGAAAGAACAACCCTTAACCCAAAGGGCCGATGACCCAGTCTAGCCCAGACTCAGCTCTGCAATCTGACCATGAGGACACAACAGAGCGATTCTGCCACAGCTCAGGGAAGTGCCCCCAGAAGCAGACCCGGATTCTGGAGACACCCCAGGAGGGGTCCTGCCTCCCGAGTGCCGGGCCCCGTGCACAGTGGGCATAGGCTGTGCGGATGACAGCCTGTGCTTCTGTGTCTATGAGGTCTGGGGGTGGGCTCAAACAAAGGAAATTTCATGCAGAACTCCAGTACAGACCAAACAGGGTGGCTCTGGGAAAGTGAAGCGTTGGAGGGGTGGGGAGCCCACCCTTACTACACATGGAGCTTTAGAACACGTGGAAACACCCTGCCTAGACCAGGACAGTGGCACCTGGTGAGGGCGGGAGCCAGGACAGGGCAGAGTGTGTGCACCACGTGTGCACAATGTAGCCTGTGCCCACTCCAGGGCCTGCTTCCCCTGGGTGGTCTGAGGGGCGGGTGATGGGGTCTCAGGAGGAAAGGCCGTGTTGGCTTTCCGTGACTGTTTGCTGTCCTCCAGCTCCTTCTCTTTTTTGTCTCAAATTGACATCTGCCCTGAAGGGAAAAGCAAAGACCTCCCCTGTGACAAGTGTGGGGCAGCCACCCTCCTGGCTGCCATGTGTGCCTGACTGAGCGTGTCTAGGGCAGCCCTCCCTGCCTCCCTAGGATCACAGGGGGAGCACCTGCTGTAGGGAGGGCAGCACCACTTGGCCAGGGCAGGTGGTCCCTTCCAGGCCTGCAGACCTCCCCTCCTGGTCCACGCCCCCAGGACACACAGTCCCACGGTGCACCCCCTCGCCCCCCAGGTATCATCAGGGCTAGTCCTGCTGCACAGTCACAGCTGGGGACAGGGACTGTGTGCTCATCGTCCCAGCACACAGCTGGTGTTGAGCTGAACTGCACTGAGAAACGGGGACACACTAGGAGCGGCTCTGCTTCCGCCCCACCAAGCAGTCTGCTCTGGACTCACTGGGGCACAGGGCACCCAGGTCCCCAGCCCTGGAGCGCTCCCCAAATAGCAGGCATCAGAAAAAGCCTGTTAGCAGTGGGGTTTGGGGGTGAGCCAACAAGTACTTGGTTACCGTGAAGAGCACAGCAGAACGAGTCCCCTCTTTGAGAAGGAAAAACTTGAACAAAAAAACCCACCTTCCTATTGGAAAAGGACGTGTCACTGAAAGGCAACTGTGACACAGACCAGCGGCTCCCAAAGCCTCTGTTCATCCCAGCCCTGCACTGCCCACCCCTTCGCCTCTGTCTCTTGATGAAAGAAGCTCGAGGAATCAGAACACTTAGGAAGATGATCCCTTTCCTCAGGGGATTCGGCATAAATCTGGCCCCTCAGTGACACTTTCAAGAAAGGTGGCCGACTCCTCCTGTCGTGTTACCCTCCACCCAGTGTGAAGAGGGGAGGGCTCCGCGGTGTCACACTGCCCCCCACAGAGCCTGTCTCTGCCCATAAGTTGCAGGAGCCCATGCAGCACCATGGAGCTTTCTAGGCAATGGGGGGGAGGGGGAGATAGTGCTCCTCCTGCACTTATTGTTGATACTTCAGAAGCCGAAGCCAATGTAAACGCTCTCAGTTTTTGTTTTAATTAAAAATTTAGCTTCCCACCCTCCTAGGATTTTGTTCTTCGGAAATTATAAAGACCCAAAGCGATTGTTAAAGGTCGAGAAAGCTGGAGAAGGCTGGTCTCATTCACTGATTCCCTTCAGCCTACATGAGATGGCAAGTGTTTCCACCAATTTCTAAGATGAAATTTACCACTGGGAGCTGCTCTGGGCAACTCCAATCCAGGTGAGGAAGGTGAGCCCTTCCTGCAATCAGTGCTCTCTGCCTGGGCCACTAGGCCTTCCTTCAGGCAAGGGCAGTCCGAGCCTCCAGAAGAGTGACTCCCCATCACGGAGGGATGGAAGCAGGAGCTGCATGCTTAGGCCCCTCGGGGAGGCAGGGGAGGGGTGTTGAGGAACTGCGGGCCCCCATTCCCGCGTCAGCATAACACCTCCACTTTCACCTCCTTTGTGTGTGGGATTTGCACACAGGCCTTAGCTTGAAGGAAAAGCACTGTTGACGGAAACAGGTCTGAGAACACAGGCTGAAGGGCACCACGCACCGCCCACTCCCGTGCTGCCTGTGGTGGGGAACTGGCGCTCCAGGGACCGCTCACAGGGGCTGTCATCTGAATTCTAGCCCGCGGAGAACATAGGCTGGTGAGTCAGCGGAACTGGAACATCCACGGGGATCCTGGGCCTTTTGCCAGACGGCCACCTCTGACTCTGGCCCAGCCCTGAGTCGTGGTCGTGCCCAGCTCCTGGAGGAGGGAGGGCT